AAATTTCCCAAAATCATGCACCCGATTACGTCACAATAGGTTTTCCATAATTTCAACTACTCAGGTTACCATAAATGAACAACAACTTGGCGATAAATGAAAACAACTTCACCATAATACAAGGGGTACCTAAAGTCTACTCTACCTGTAATGGGTAAAAGTATATTTACGGGTACGCTTGGCGAAAATTGGTTATTTTTGGCAGTACATGGATACTGAGTTTGTGCAATTCTTTGACTTGTTATTTTGGCTTTGTGTAGCAGCTATTTTAGCACCAAAAATCAAGGTACATGAAGACAAAATAACAAATCAAACAATTGCACAAAATCGGTATCCAACGATTTTCATTAAAAACAATCTTCACGGAATTGCTCAAACTAGGCATTGCACACTCCCTTGACTTTTTATCCACGTAAATGTCAACCTGGTTCCACTTAAAAAAAAAAAATAATAATATCAGAGAATTGCACAAATTTGGCATTGCGCACTCCCTGACTTTGTCCATGTACCGTCGATATTTCACTTAAAAGTCAAAGGAGCACCCAATTCTACAGTAGAGGCAAACAAAAAATACATAATCTCAATAAACTACATTTTAAACCAAACCAAAAAAATAACAAAAAAGGAAAAACCTCTTATGCATCTAAGCACTATAGAAAGCAAATATCTGCCTACCTTATTTAGAAATTTCTTTGTCTTCAGTCTGTGGCACACTAAATTCCTTAATAGTGTCCAAAAACTTCCTAAAATTATCTTAACTCAAATCTGTATATCGGCATCACCACATCAATTCACAAAAATAAGAGTAAAAAATATCTTCTTTAGTTCCAGACTGTCCGGAAAATGGCTACTAAGTAAACCTTCATTTACACACCAGTCAATGAATCCTCTTTTCCCCTTCCCTTCCAAATCATACAGAAACTTCAGATTAATCCTACTACATTCAGCCATTCTATTGTCGAAACAACAAAAGAAGCAATGTACTTCCTAACCGACGCACACCACAAACCCATACAAAACATCCCATAATTCAAAATTTGCCACAATCATGCAATGGATTATGTCGTAATAGGGTTTCCATAACATTCAACTGCTCAGGTTACCATAAATGAAACAACTTGGCGATCAACGAAACAACAACTTGGTATTAAATGAAACAATAACTTTGCGATAATACAAGGTGTACCCTTCAGTCTACTCTAACCATAATTTGAAATTATTTGTAACAAAATATTCTTGAATGATTTTTTTCCCACAGACTATGTATGGACAACGAAACATTAACTTGATGATAAATGAAACAATAACTTTGTGATAATACAAGGTGTACCCTTTAGTCTACTCTAGCCATAATTTGAAATTATTTGTAACGAAATATTCTCGAATGATTTTTTTTCCCCCAGAATATGCACGGAATGTCATTTATTTCATGCAGTAATAAAAACACATAAATTAACGACATGCATATCAAAAATATTAATTTAAATTTTTGTCATAAAAATTGATTATCTTGCAGGAAAATTTCTTATAACGTTATAAAGGACAATATAAAAATAAGGAAATATAAGAAGTGAAAACAAGCTTTTACAGAATGGTATAAGCAAAAGTAAATCGCTGAAGTCCAAAAAAATTAACCTTTCAGTGTTGGGCACACTTTATCATAATTATAAAAATTTTTATTCATTTTTTAGTTACAGCCAAGGCTGTCTTAAAGTGTAGGCCTGCTGAGCACTTACGTAAGGGCCCCATGCTTATCTGTTTCATTTCTTTGAATATTTCTTGTAAGGACCCTTGCATACTGGTTTGTCCAAGGGCCATAATCCTGTTAAGAATGCATTGATTACTGCATATTGTTATTGTAATAGTGATATATATGTAGAGATCATCGACGACGATGCTGAATTAGAATATGTAGCGTGGTGACGTCATCCCAGCTTAGCACAGTGCGGAGCAAACGAGACCAACACGAGAAAGCGTCCAGACGTGGAGAGTAGCAGAAACAAGCAGAGGGCTTGCTTGTCCTCGAAGAGTTGTTGGAAACAGACGGTTTCCTTTGATGTTTAAGTTCCTTCGATGTTTAAGCCAAGCCGATCATATTATCTAATGCTAGCTGTGGAATAACGTGTTCTATCAAGGCATGAGCCTACGTGCCTGTGGAACTGATAGTGTGTGAGAAATGTTCATCATTACATGAATCCTGTGTGGACTGATCATGACATTCTCGCAATATTAATTTTACTTAACGTACCTTTTATTACTTTTATCTATTTCTTATTAGTAAAATAAAGCATTTAAGAATGCAATATCCGTGCTCTCCTCATGTTTTGAAAGTAATTTCTAGATATATGTATAGTATATATTCATGATTGTAAATAAGCAGGCAAGCTATTTCCTAGTTTCAACATCATATATGTGAAAGCCAAACATTTGAATGTTAATACATAATTAAAAAAAGATGCTCATGCGTTGTAACCACAAATTTATTTTTAATGCTGCCAGTAGCATAAAATGTACCATAACTAGGCTTGTAAAATTACTAAATGTGCTTAAAAAATTATTGGTCAATATTTCTAATTTTCATATGAGTTCATGTGTTGCTAGTAAATTTATTCAAACATAAAGTATACCATAATTTTTTTTTTTTTTTTTTTTTTTTGTGAAGGACAACTGCCATTGTAAGATTCTTATTTTATAGAAATTTTAGTGTCAACTTTTGAATAGTTTGTTATTGCTTTTCTAAAGGTAATCATATGATAATCATAATTGATGAGAAAATTTTTAATAATTTTTATACTTAGTTATTTATGATTATAATTGTGAATTTTTATTTATTTAGAAAATAAAACCTGCTCTCCTGATCAGTTCCATTGTGGATCCTCTTCTGCTTTATGTATACCAGTCACTTGGAGATGCGATGGTCAGGAAGACTGTCCCGATGGTTCTGATGAAAAAGATGACTGTCGTAAGTGCGGAAGTTGAATTGCTCATTTATAATTTGATTTATAATCTATTTGCTGATCACAAAAAAGGGGGAGGAATAAATTCCTTTATGTCACACATTACATATCAGAATTGCAAGTTGTTCATAAATTGCAGTTTGGCTGCTGTCGTCATATATGTAAGTATACTTGTGTATATGTATATATATACATATAATTATTTACTAAAGAAATGTTGATTATATTATCTCCTAATATAAATTTAGTAGAATGTATCAAAATAAATATTTCTTTAAATCCAATATCAACAGATTTACTAACCTATATGCTCTTCCCAAATTCCATAAAACATCATTAAATTTCAGATTCATAGCAAATGAATACAAAATTCATAGCAAAAAATTCAAAATTCATAGCTACAAAAAATGTAGTCTATTATTTTGAACTTCAGCTTAAAAATCTTTGTAAAATTATGTTCAACAATTGTAACACTAATTATAAATATTGCTGGATCATCCAAAATAACACTTCTGCCGTTAACACCATTCAGACTATTGACATACAAAACATTAACTGCTATGACTTTGAAAACTTATTTACCTCACTTCCATTAGAAGAAATCTATACTAGTCAATTAGATCTGCCTAAACTCTTCCCTGCTATACTCACGATTATGAACTTTAATAAATGGAAAACCTACCTAAAATGCACAATTTTTCATAACTACATTACATTTCAAAATCAACTTTTTAAGCAAGTCAGAGGACTCGCAATGGGCACACATTCAAGTACTTCCATCTGTAATCTCTTTTTATTTATCAAAGAATTCGAATTTTTTTGGAATTTGAATTTTGGAAGGAATAAGAATCCTTTCAAAAAATTTACAACCACAAGATTTAAATTACTACACGTACACTTACAGATACATAAATGATCTTATTACATTTAATAATTTTAATAAGATTGAAAACTCAAAAATTTATCCAGAATGCTAATCTGGATAAATCTGGATGCTAATCTCTTAATAAAACTAATCATTCACTAAATATCATCGACTATCTTGATCTTCAAATAATTAACTACAAAAAAATTCTACTATTTGACAAAAAAAAAAAAAAGAGACTTCAATTTCAATACTAACAAATTAATAAATTGGACTTCCAACATCTCCAAGAAAGTTATTAGTAATACTATCTTAAATCAAATACAATGTATTAAAAATATTTGCACAGATACGATAGATATGCAACTCGAAATTGTGCTCCTTATTAAAATTCTCAAAAATAATCTAATACCTAATCGATTTATTAACCATTGTCTTAACAGAGCAGGTGTTAAATACTCTCTCTAAATCATTCAAATGATAGGGATATGAAAATTTGTTCCTAAACCTGAAAAAGCAGTATAAGTTGGATGAATATTAGTTGGAAGATTTCTACCTAGTGTAATTACAAAATTGTATATAATGTAAAATATCATTGTTTTCTAACTTTTCTTATGCTGTTACTAAAAAAAATGAACCCATTTCATACTCTGTAATCTGCTAAATAGCTCATTATCAGTGAAAATTACGATTTTCTTTTTTGTTCTGCCACGACAATTAGCCAGAAATTAATTAATAGTTAATATAATCAAAATTAACAGATGCATTTTCACTCGCATATGAATCCGCAACAGCCTCCCTCCCACATACCAAAAATAGCTTCTCAAAGGTTCACCGCCTGTAATAATTCAAAGCATCCTCACTGCTGATACTGGAATTTCGGATAGTATAACCTCCAACACCCCTTCTGAGTAAGAAACAGACGAGAACACATTACCAACATTTCAATAGAAAGAACGCAAGTTAATTCATATTCTGGCCTTTTTGTATTTCATGTACATTTCACTTTGTACATTTCATTGTATCTTATATATATAAATTTTTCAACTTTTATTTCATTAATTTTGCAAAGATAACATAGTTTGTTATGTTTCTTGTGTTTCTTATGTTGATTTCAATTATTTTGAGTTCAATTTCATAAGTCTAGTTAAGATTAACTACTGTTTTATATTTTTATAAAAATAGTTTTGAATTAGCATGCATGAGAGTGAGGGTGTCGGGGGACACTTTACTCAAGTGTCATGTAAATTTTACTATATTATTTGGCTATTCACTCAAGATTTTTAAAGAATCCATTGACTTAGTACTTAATTGGGCTTTAATATCTCAACTTTTCTAAAATTCCAATAACTTAACGGAACTTTAATTTTGGCCTTAACTAAATTTGCCAGTTTGGCATCACCGGTCTTACTTGAGTAAAAGACTAAACACCTTCACATTTATTAATTATTGTTCATTCAACGGGAGTTGGTTTGTTCTCCTTAAAGAGTCAACTAATTTCTGATCAATGACGATAATTACTTGGTTTATTAATTTTCTTTTCAAAGTGTAAATTTCTATTTTTTTCATGATTTAAATTCAAGTACTTTTAAAAAATGTTTTGGAATTATTTTTATGATTTAATTCAAGTCCCCTTAAAATTTTTTCATGATTTACATTAAAGTCCCTTTAAAAATTTTTTTTGGAATTAAATTTCATACTTCTGGGTTACTTAATTTTGATACATTCAACTAAATTTGTATTAGGAGATAATATAACAATATTTCTTCATTAAATAAACTAATATTATCTTACTTTGCAGCTATTGTGCAAGTATTAGAATTTTTTTCCCCCCTGATTTCAATGAATTTCAGTTCATTCAATATATATATATATATATATATATATATATATATATATATATATATATATATATATATATATTTAAGCGCGAGCTTACTACGATTTCTAATTTGCTTGTTTTGCAGCATATTGCGCAAATGTTTTCTAGACCAAATTGGTCATGCAGTGTTGTACTAACTGCCTTGCTTGTTTATATATATATATATATATATTATATACATATATACATATATACTTATGTACACTCACAAAACACATTTATATATATATATATATCAGGGGTGTTTGTGCTCCGGGGATTTTGAACTCCGATCCCCGGAGTCGTTCAAAAGGAAGTAGGAATAATAATGAATTATTATTTTGATCCGGGTAATTTTGTTTGCTTTGAAAGCAGAAAAATGCAAGGTCAGTGTGTGTGGTGAAAACTTTTCCTTTCTTTCTCCAAAGGCAGTGATAATGTGTGAAAAGGGGAAAAAAACTTCTTTTTTGTTCTTTCCTTATTGCGAGTTATGACTCATTCCCCCGGTTCTCGGACATTCTCTTCTGGATTCTTTTCGGCAAGTAGGCGCGGCAGAAAAAAAAGGGAAAGACTTTTCGATCAGATGTGCGATCACGTGACTCTGGGGTCAAAGGTCTTATCTCTCCTGGCGTGGCGCCAATAAGTAGAAAAGGGGGATTTTTTGCCATATTAGCTGTTTGTCATTGATCGCTTTCTCAACTTTTTTTCTCCGCTGTGTAAAATTTTCGTTTCATTTATTGATGCACGTGTAAATTTTTCGTTTCGTTTATTGAAATATTTTTTATTTATGTACGCAAGAGAATTTCACTATGAAAGTTCTCGAATAAATAGTGAAATTATACAATTAAAAGAAGGTGTCCGGAATGCATTTAGGTGGAAGATTGAATGGAGAGATGGTAATGGGATATCATCGGCACATGGTGCAAGAAAATAAATGTTGCTGGACAAGCATATTGTGTTTTTGTAACTCACTGCTGAAGTATGGTGGAGAAGGATTCAAGGCTTTCACAAACCATTCTAAAACTGTGATGCACATATAAATATTCAAAGTGCATTAGACATTCAATGACTTTAAGTAATTATGCTAATTCAAAAATACTGATGACTTACTGGAGACTGATGCTCGGCCATTGGATATAGTGATAAGAAAAGCACGCCAAGAGGTATTAATAACTTCGTTTGTCGCCGAGAATTCTCTTTCTTTCAATGTAGCTCCCAATTTAATTGAACTCTGCAAACAGTTGAGCCACGATCAGACGGCACTAAACTCGTTGGAAATGTCCAGGACTACTGCATGTTTATAAGATGAAATATGGGCTCGCAAAAACTATTAAGGAAAATATCATTAAAACTTTAAAGGAGACTGCATTTTCTCTAAATTTGGATGAAAGTACTAGCAATGCTCAAGAAAGTATACTGGCAATATTGGTGCAGTTTTATGGCAACAATCAAAATGAAGTTGTAGTTCATCATTTGCATCTCTAAAGATGGAATCTTGCAATTCAGAAGCTGTTTTTAAAGCAGTTGTTAATACTATTGAAGATAATAATATTCCATGAGCAAACTTAATTAGTGTATTAATGGACTCGTGTAACACCATGCGTGGGAAAAAAAAGGGTGTTGAAACCAGACTACGATCAAACAAAGCACCCCACTTATTAGATATTGATTGTGACACACATGTCACACAGCTAATAACTGTGCAAAAAAATTTGCTTCATGTTTTGATAGATACTTAGAAGATTTGTTTGATGACATCTATTTTGATATGAAAAGCTGCAGTAAAAGAGAAAATTTTTTCAAAATCTGTGAATCCCTTGCCATTAAAAAACTTAAGCCCTTGAAGAGACCAGACCATAGGTGGTGTACATTTTATGTGTTTTAGAAAGAATCAAAGATCTGTAGGATGCTCTTATTGCATTTTATTTTCACTACTTGGATAAAACTGATAAAGGGGATTATTTTTCTTATGTTGAAACTGTATACAATAAAAGAAATATTTCTGCAGCTCAGAAAAAATTGTTGAATGGGGTGTATTCTTGCTTGCATTCCCAACAACTCACAAAGGATGCTTTAGCTCGGAAAAAAAGAATACTAAATGGGTTATTTGGTTATGCAAAACAAAACTTTATTGCATATAGCATTATATTCAGCAGCAATTACCAGAGTTCAACACATATATTAAATTATTTGAAACAAAAAAAACCAATGCTTCATTTAATACATTCCAGTATTTATAAATTGATGGCAAAATTTTTCTCTTTTTTTTGTGAAGCCAGAAAATATAGAGTGCACATCTTATAATGATTTATTAAAGGTTGATGTCACAAATCCAGAATTCCATCTACCTAGCAAAGTAATATTTACTGGTGCAGAAGCTTCCACTCTCCTGAAGAAATTATCAAAAAATCATCCAATAGCAAAAGAATTCCAAATTTCTCTGATGAAAGCTTATACTAATACAGCACAGCGTATGAAACAGAAATTACCCCTTAAAAATTCATATCTAATTAGTTTTACAGCATTAGATCCAGAGCTAAGAGGTAAAACCAGTACAATATTAGCTTTTGAAAAATTATCATCTTTTATGTCCCATATTTTTAGTGATAATGAAAAGTCAAAAGTAGAAGCTGAAATAAGGTTATACCAGAGTGATATTGATATCACCAAGAAATGCTCTACGCATCTGATGAAAGTGGAAATCAAGTCAAGTGTACAATTGATAAATATTGGCCTAAAGTTTTTAATTTAAAAGATGATTTCACAAATGATTATAAGTATCCTACACTGGCTAAATTGGTCAAAGCCTGCCTTAGCTGTTTCCATGGCCCATTAGTGGAAAGTGCATTCAACTTAATGGATACACTTGTCTTTGACTATAGAACCTCTCTTAAGATTGATTCCCTAGATGCAGTGCAGACTATTAAATATGATTTAATGGCTTCTAAAGAAACCTCATGTGAAAAATATGGCTAAAAAATCCAAATGACTGATCCAATTCACAAAGCTCTCTTACTGATATGAACAGAAGTTGGAAACATATCAAGAGGACTTAAAAACACGTATTTCAGATGAGTCACAATAAAAGTCTCTGAAAAACCTTCTACATTAGCAGAAAAGCAAACTGCTTCTATCTCTGCATGTGCAGTTTTTGAGGAAATTTCTTCAACTGTAAATGAGGAAAATAAAAGTCAACCTTCCTGCAATTATGAAGTTCACCACAAAAGAAGACAAGCCCACAAACATCATAAAAAATAATAAAAAAAAAAGCAGCAGAAATTAGATAATTTTTTTTAAAGAATTAATTCAGGTAATTTAAAATATTTACAATAAAATGTAGTAGTTTATATGTTTGAAAATTTATGGTTATTAATTTTGCAAAAGAAGTAATTCATTGAACTTTTATAATTAGGTCATTCAATACTTCATAATTGTAATTTTCATTTCTCTCCCCCCCTTCTTGAAACTCCAAAATGTCGGTAGTAAGTCCGTAAAAGTTTCAGGGGATTTTTTGGGGTCCCACAAACACCCCTGATATATGCAAAATATAAAACAAAAACCTTTCTAATAATAAATTAGCAATAGCTCTTTGACTCATGCTCCTCTCTTCATTCTAAAACAGCAAAGCAGTATAACTTTTCTAGGTACTATTCTGTTTTGAGGGTCGTAAAAAAATTGCAGCAAAATGTATGCGCAAAAGCGCCAAATCTAGCAAACACGCGCATTTAACAGCGTGCCAAATCTAGCGTACGCGCTAATTTCGGATTGCGTAAGTTATATAGTTCTATGTTTCTTAAGACACCATTGAAATACCATTGAAAGAGATACCATTGAAATAGTTTTAATTTTTAATTCTTTTTCTGATATCCTATGAATTTAACAATTCAGGAATTGCCCATGATGAAAAGTCTGCGATAGAATTTTGGGGAGAAGTGCAGAATCACCCACTGCTTGACGTGTTTTTAAGAATTGCACATACTTGGTATCCATGTACACATCGATTTATTTCACTTAAAAAAAAAATCCAAAAATTGCACAAAAATGGCACTGCGCACACCCTTGACTTTATCTATGTACACATCGACCTATTGTCACTTAAAAGTAAAAGAAAATTGACAAAAATCCAATTGTTTTTACCCTTGTAAAAAGCGGCAAACAAATAAGTGGGCAATTCTGCACTTTACCGAGAATGTTTTCAAAGAAAAGGCATCATTCGTTATAGAAAGTTAAGTTTGAACAACCAACAAGATGGCATTATGCTTTAGAGATAACTCGGTTAGCGAAATATTATGAAATTAACCTTTCATCTAAATTAAAACATCATATTAGATAGTTATTTACTACTATGCTTACTTTCTTGCGTTAGGGTTGTTGCAATTACTTTTGGCAGCACTGGCATCAACAATAGTTTGGCGATTTTTTACAGCCCTCGAAACCCAATAGTACCCTTTTCTAATATAATCCTTATTTCCTGTAATTCTGAAAACGATCCATAATCTGATCTCTGTTGCAGAATTATTCCTGGTATGCAGTGAAATATTAACCCAGTATCCAAATATTAATCTGTTATTCCCTCACTTCAGGGCCCTTTTTTGCCTTTTCACTTCTTGTTACTTGCAAAACTTAATATCATCTGCTTGGTTTCCTTGATTATTTCAGAAGTGTGATATGTCATAGATAAATCCTGATGTGTCTTATGAACTGTTTGTGATCCTGATGTATATATGTGTCTTCCTCTTTCTGTTGTAAATAAAAGAGACATACTTACTAACTGGGAGTAAAAAAAATATATATATAATATACATTTGTGTAATAAATCATTTGTTTTAATTTTGGTCTGAATGAAAATGATATTAAAAACAATATGCTTTTATGAAAAAAGTGTATTATCATTTATGCAAAAAGATATGTTGAGGCATATATAAGTCTCCGTTAAAACGTTATTAACATTTTACTTTCAAGTTACTTCAAAACATCTTTCAAATATAACTTACCAGTATGGATTCACTCTTTTAAAATAATTCTACTTTAATTAAACTTAGGAGATAATATAATCAATTAATCAATATTGTTTAGGAAAATAAATTATTATTAACTAACTTTGCAGCAATTGCGCACGTAGTAGTAACTTGTTTTCGCACTAAATGAATTTAAGATAAATATAACAAAATAGAAACAAAATTTTAAAATGTGCATAATAATATATTGTGGGAATTATTTAATGATGTTCAGATTTGATTTATTGATGTGCACTATAAATAAATTTATCAGTAAAAGATGTGGAGATGGAAGTGAAGTTAATAAAAATAAATGTGCCAAGATTTTCCAAATAGAATTTTTCTCCCTTATAATAATTATTTTAATTTTCTTTCTTTCATTTTTTTTCTTTTTCTTTTTTCTTTCTTTCTTTTTATCGTCTAAGTGGTTGATGATGGAATAGAAATAAAGAAATATAAGAATCTGAATTATACTTAATGCAAGTTCTTATAATTTGATGAGTGAGAATTCTCATCAAACACAATTCAAAAGCTCTAAAAGTATGTTTGATCTGAAATTACATGCAACTTTAATTCTTGCTTTAATAAGGATTTTGGCTTCTAATTATTTCCAATGTCAATATGATAATGAGTCTCATATTTCATTCATGAAAGTATTTTTCCTTTTTTTCTATTTTTTTGTGATTTAAAAAAAATTATTTAATTATTTTATGAGTAATATCACATACTGGCTCACAACTTGCTAAAAAACTGTTTGATGCAAATGGATTACTGGTGTATGTAATTATATAGAGGAATTATTTTATGGGATATTGCATAAAATATGAAACTTTTTTTGGTTTCAGGACAAATAACATGTACAGAAGAAGAATTTACCTGTGATAATAATAAATGCATAACACGCCGCTGGCTCTGTGATCAAGATAATGACTGTGGAGATTTCAGCGATGAAAAATCATGTCGTAAGGATGTTTGAAATTTTATTACAGTACAGAGTCCAAAATCCGGATGTCCATTATCCGGAATGATCTAAATCCGGACCTCAAAGCCATAAACTTTTTTTTTTTTTTTTTTTTTGATATGCTTTGTGCATGTGCATCTGATTTTTCCTTCCATAATAAAACGGGTGGAGATTTTTCACTTAAAATTCCAATTCTTAATTTCACTTAGGCACTAAATAAAATACATCGTTATGAAAAAAAACAATCATGTAAGCATAAATTTGTGAGATTAATAATTTGGCTCCGTAGCTGAATATCTATTTGGCATACACCTCAAACAGAAACATTCTCTTATTTTATATTCCTGACACCGACCTGGCGAGTTATTATTTATTATATTTTGCTTTCAACATCACATGTCTACCAATACATGACAGCTTCAGTAATAATTCATGCAGTGATGTGTCTAAACTTTTTTTTTATATTAGTAATTGAATAACAAGAGTAAGGCAACCTTTTCTGCTAACATTACGCTTGGCGATGATATAGATTTTTAAATGCTCTAAGAGTTGACGAGGAAAAATTCAACAAAAATTTCTTTTCATATGCTAAAAATAGATTTTGTTAATGAAACTCATAGGCCAAAAGATTACATTTAGTGCTATTTTAATTAAGAATAACTGATACGTTATTTACCATAAACTCAGAAGCGGCGGCAGAATTTAGGGAAGACACAATTTTAGAATTTGGGGAAGCACCGAGTGGCAAAATTAAGGGATGAGATGTTTTTTATAATTGGGGTGGGTGGGGGGTGGGGAAGCACTGTGATCCAAAGTTTAGGCACGGCGAAAATTTAGAACTTACGAAAGCGCTTTGTAGCTGTGGAAATTATTTTGATTAATTAATAGATGATGTGCCTTCTGAATTTCTATATACGCTGCACCGGCAGCTTGATAGAAGAATGTTTAGATGTTTCGCACACTTTAGGAACACTTCAGCTCCTATTTAAAAGATTTCGATTTTTTATTGTGAAAGTATATAGATTTGTGTGATAGTTGAACCACCATGTTTTAATTAATGATCTATAAATATTGAACATATTAAAAGTTACATTTTAAAAGGGATTGATGTCGATTTATAGTAATCTTATAATATTTTGAAACAGTAGCAGAATTTAGAGACTGCCCCAGGCGGTATCTAGCACCAGGTCTAAATAAAGCCTTAAGTATATGTGAGAGTTTATTTATTCAGGACTTAGATTAGTTTTAAGCATGTGCAAGAAATAAATGTAGGTATAGTAACTAACTAATACAATTCAGGCTTCATTCAGTATGCAATAAGAGCAAGACAAAAATTTAGCGGAAACAACTTGGCTTTCGTCACCAATCTTGTGATATGCAGCCAATAATGTATAACGGATGCTAATAAGCTAGGCTAAAATTATCTTAAATGATTCTAAGGCATTTCAGTTAATGTAGCAGACTGCGCTGCTCCTTAATCTTCTAATTTGATCCAGCTTATTATTTTTTGCAGACTGTTATTATTACAGCAATTTTATAAAAATTAAGCTTGAACTTTCAATTATATCGAAAAGAGTTTCCAGTTCTGGAGCTGCCAAAGGATCTGCAAAGCGAAACCGTGTTTCGATGTCCATTAAACAAAAAGTGGAATTGCTGCAAAAAATGGATAAAGGCATATCTGTCTCAAAATTATGCATGGAGTATGGCATTGGAAAGTCAAATGTATATGACATAAGAAAAAGGAACTTTTTGAATTTTTTATGGAAGCAACTTAAACAACTTACATTGAAAGAAATGTTTAATAAAGTAAACAAATAAATATTAAGCTTTTTTTTTTTTTTTTTGTGTGTGTGTGTGTAAATTTTGGTACTCTTTAGAACATAATTGTTCTTTATTTCATAAATTATGATTTCATATTTTTAACTGTATAATTTCTGCATGCCATCTTACCAAATTTAAATTGATGATCTATTATCCGGGAAAACCCCAAATCCGGAATCGCCGAAGTCCCGATGAGTACGGATTTTGGACTTTGTACTGTATTTGGTTTATTTTTCATGATAATGATTTTACACTGTATGATGTTGCTAATTGTGAACATAAACTTGGATTACTTTTCACCACAATCATCTCTCTTATTTTCAAATGAAAATGTCATACATCAAGTGAATGTTCATGTGTTTTTTAGCTTGTAGTTTTTAGTTATATTCATATATATCATGAGATTTTTTTAAATAGTAATATAGCTGATGGCATGGTATCAACAATTTAATCAAAATAATGCACATTTTGTGGGTAATATATTTTGCAACAAATATGAGATTTAATGTTATGAAAATTATTTTAATATTATATATGTATGGTATAAATAGGAAAAAATAGAAAAATGGTATTCTATCCTTGACTAACTCTTTGGGCATTCTGTGTTATTGTTTAATAACGTCATTCATTCAAGCAGAGTTTCGTGGTACACCTGTGCAGATAGCTGATTTCTCATTGCTAATGCTTTTTCATGCTATTTCTGTGACTTTTTTGAAGAGTTTTATATAATGAAATATTATGAAATAAATATTAAAAAAATGGTACTTTCTGATTATCTGCATCACTATTGAAAAGTCATGAACTTGTTGGCAATCTTGTTGAGCATTAGCAAACTCACTAGCAGCTAATTTTTTGCTAAGCTAATGGGACAAAAGCAAGAGCCATTTTGAAAATGGTGATACTCTAAGAATTCTTAAAAATAGCAATCAGTTAAAATTAAAAGAGCAAGAAACATTGATAATAAGTGAAACTGGTGACCATTTTTGAGAAATCTCTGTGATTTTTTTACGATGCTTTCTCTTCTTTATGCAGTGATCAATTTTTGCTAAAAAAATGCAGAATAACACAAATTCAGCATTGTGTGCTGATCTAGCAATAGTGTGAAGTGACACATACTACATACATAATGACATATAAAGTGAACACATACATAATGACATATAAAGTGAACAGCTGTTGTAAATTTGATACCTCTGTCTTCAAATCAATTTCCAACTCACATTCTAACACTTTGCTTGCAATTTGTCACATTGCATTTTTATTTTTATTTTTTTTTTTAATTTGGTCATTTAAGAAGTAGAATTTAGGGAGTACAAATTTTTTGCATTCTTTTTACACTGCTTTTCCATTGTTGGAAACAATGCTACATTTCTTCAAAAATGCAATGCTTTCCTTTTCATTGGATGGCAATTTCCGCACTTTCTTTATGAATCATTATGAGAAAAACATACCTACTCTATGAAAAACGAAGTGCTAATCAGAAAAATTATGGTTGAATTTCAAAAGTGCAAATTCGCATATGCCTAAACAGATGTGCGTTATGCACACACCTGGATTGCCACATAAATACATTTTGACGACATTTTGAGTTGTTATATAACTATTTTGGCAATTTACTGCATTTCGTCATGAATACTTTTTTGTTAGGGGTGCAGATAATCAGAAAGTATAAAAAATTATTATTGTGGAAAAAAATGGTCACTCAATAGAATTCATTGACGAAATGTGGTTTTTAGTAGCTTTGGTTTTTTGTAACTGTGGCTAGTGACAGTGAAGAAGAAAGTGAGAGCGATGATGGAATTTATGGCAAGTACAAATTCACAAAAAGTATGAGAAGTGTTGTGGAAGAAGGAGAAGACTAATTATGTGGAGCCTCCTTTTCTTGGAAGAGAGAATATCTATGTGATAAGATATTAGTCATGGAAGCTCCCCATTATTGATAAAAGATTTATGTGCTTAAAATTCGTTTATAAATTCAGTTTCTTGTTTATAATTCCTACGGTGCTAGTAGAAGTGAGAGATGAATTATTAATGAATGTACATTATAATTCCAAATATCAGCCAGCAATAAATAATTTATTAAGCATAGTAAAATAAAAACATATTTTTATTAATATTTTCCTATCTTTGGCAAGTCTTTTTTTAATAGCATATATATTTTTCTGCCCAAATAAAAGTTCATGAGTTAAAAAAGGAGTTTTATATTGAATACTAATCATTCTTGTGAATTAGGTGATCGAATTTATTTATGCTGTTAATAAAAAATGGAAATTTATTAAAAATTAGTTAAATTTTAAAAAAGTGTATTTTTTCTAGCAAATGCAACTTGTTCCTCTTCCGAGTTCTTGTGTTCAAATGGTAAGTGCATACCGGACCGCTGGCGTTGCGATGGAGATGTAGATTGCATTGAAGATGGGTCAGATGAGCTGACCTGTCCAAAGGTGACATTGAGATCACCATGTGCAAGCAAAGAATTCACGTGTAAATCTAGGGACTGTATTCATCAGAGTTGGGTTTGTGATGGAGATGCAGATTGCCCGGACAGATCTGACGAAGCCAATTGTAAGCTATTTTCAGTCTGAATTTAGAATGCTATTAATAAATACACTGGAATTTTATTTATATTGTTAATAAATAAAATATTTTTACCATTTCATTTATTTTTTGTATTCACCTGTATGTCACCTGGTATTTGTGTATTAACCAATATTACTTCTAATGGATTCCTGAGAGTGGCAGCCTTCGGAGTAATCTGGATTGTTCTAGAAAGAGGCAACATGTTTTTAAAAAAAATGTTTGTTAACATTTTCTTTGTTGGAGATGGCTAAGAAAGGTTATTTTCTGTCATTATTACAAAATCAGCGAGTGCACTTATAGATAAAACATAGCAGGTGCCTCTCTGTGTCATTTTTGGGGTAACTCTTTCCATGGGAAAATTTTCTTACTTTTTATTATATTGCTGCATATTGCATTGTGCGGTACTTAGCCCATTAAATACACCACTAGAAAATGCTTTGTTGCCAAGTATGAAAAGTCACCATATGGTTTCGTGCCTAATCAAATCATAATAACCCTACACTATTTAATATGAAAAGAATATTGACATTCATGAAAAAACAGCAGAAAATAAAAGGTATTGTTAATCCCTAGTATTATTTTAATAAGTTTTGTAAATTTAAATTCAAGAAACAGTAATATAACACATCAATGATTTAAATGATTTAATTTCTTACAAGTTAAAATACAAAACTTAGGTTACATTTTAAATTGAAAATTAAAAGAAGCGAATCATTGTTGATTTCATAGAAAAGTCCCGATTAAGGGGAATTGGAATCTCTTCATGCAACCACCAAGAATTCATGAGGATGGTGTTTCATCATTTTGCATTTTAAAATAAAGTCTGTATTCAGATTTTAAATTTTTAAATAAATTTTATAAAACCTGCATTTAAATCTTAATCTAAATTTCACTTTACATATGTCCTAGGAGATAATTTTTTTCATATATTCTCTATTAACCCTTTGAGGCTCAGTGCATAAATTTTTTTTTTCCGAAAAAGTAACGTTACACATAGATAACTGGCCCCTAATACCATGTTATTTCATAGGGAAAAAAAAAAAAAAAAAAAAAAAAAAAAAAAAAAAAAAAAAAAAAAAGCCAGGTAAACCTTGAAGGTAATTCATGACATGATGGGATACTGCTTGCCCCACTGCACATCTAGAGCAGTAAAATGGCATCTTTGCCTCAGCATAAATTCTCCTAACATGCTTATCTAAAGTGCTAGTTTTAGCAAACAAATGAAAATGCAAGATATAAAAAACGTTTTTGAATAATTATCTAGAAAATATTGAACATATTCGCAAAGTAAAAAATATTTTTTTCAAAAAAAAAAAATTACATAAATTTAAAAAAATCGCTCTCTGTACGATTTTTTAGATATTCTGTAATGATTTCATAATAGATTTGAAACAGAGAAGATTTTCACTCCAGTATTTTATTTGCTACAGGTTTGAAAAGGAAGGTATTTAGAAGGCTGTCATGTTTATTTACATTTCATCTCTCTTTCCTCTGCTTAGGATATTTTTCTACGGTGAATCACACTCATATATCCATTCAGTATTCAATGACATTTCATGTTACAGAGTTATATTTTCATTTCTTGCAGAAAAAATACTAAATATTTTTCAAGTTTTAACATTGTTACAATTTATTAAAAAATATAAATTTGCATTATCAGCATATAAAACGAACATGATACTTGAATTAAAAAAATATTTGAACGGTGTTGCCATCTAGTAGCAGCAATTCCTACATGCACGGTGGCAAAACAAACTATTTAAAAAGGACAAGTGAAGTAGAAATAAGAATACACATCCGAAAAGCTGTATCATCAGTCTTTGACATTTACTTTCCCAAGAGGAGGTCAGTAATTCAATGACAACACTTCTTTTCCTGCAGAATCTTTTTTATTTCTGTACACTTAAAATTAACCAAAGTACCAGATTAATAAATAAATGAATATTTCTCAGCACCTTTGAAAGTTTAAAGTGCCTCCTCCACAAGAAAAGTTTTCGCACCTCAGTTTTCATAAAAATGTAGTAGTAATCATACATACTTGGTCCCACCTTTTAATTTCAACCATTCTTAATTAATATATATGAATTCAAAATAATATTTTCTTTTAGAAAAGGAACTTTTACATAAAAATATTCATTCTAAGACCAAAAGTTGTGTTTGGACGATTTAAATCGCATTAGAAATAATAATAATAAAAAAATAAAAAAAAAAAAAAAAACCTGCTTCAAAATTAGACCTGCAAAGAATTTTTTTTAATATTATTTCATGAATGAATACTAGTGCTGCCATCTGTTTTATACATATAGAGAACTAAAAAGTGTTATTGTATGTATTTGAAATGGAATTTTGCAGCTTTCATCTGGGAGATAAAAACTGATAAAAAAGGTGGGACGCCAGCCTGTCAAAGCATATTAAATTAAATTTTTAAGCTTTGGAGCGATCGATAATGGACGATTTTAGTTTTTAAGTCCTTTTAAAATAAATTTTGAAATTCATTAATTTTAAAGTTTTTTTTCTTCTCATATTTCTTTATGCACACACATACTTCCATTGCATGTAATATATATATATATATACAGAGAGAGAGAGAGAGTTAAATTACAGTAAATAATGTAAAAGGAACTTAAAAATTAATTCGGTACTAAGTGCTGCAAAGATTTAATTAATAAATAATGTAAATAATAATTATAACTAAACAGGCAAAGAAATTGAGCAAAAAAATAATGATATTGCATTACTAAAATTATAAAAATTACAAAAATTAAAATGGGACTGCCAGTTAAAAAAAAATGGCAAAACAAACTATTTAAAAAGGACAAGTGAAGTAGAAATAAGAATACACATCCGAAAAGCTGTATATCAGTCTTTGACATTTACTTTCCCAAGAGGAGGTCAGTAATTCAATGACAACACTTCTTTTCCTGCAGAATCTTTTTTATTTCTGTACACTTAAAATAACCAAAGTACCAGATTAATAAATAAATGAATATTTCTCAGCACCTTTGAAAGTTTTAAAGTGCCTCCTCCACAAGAAAGTTTTCGCACCTCAGTTTTCATAAAAATGTTAGTATGTAATCATATGGATAGTTTTATTATGTAATCACATGGATAAATTTTACTATGATAGGTACCATTACATGCCGTCAAGATCAGTTCCAGTGTCGTAATAAACAGTGTATACATGGAACATTACAGTGTAATTCTGTGAAAGACTGTGAAGATGGATCAGATGAAGAAAATTGCAAAAGTAAGATTTTGCCTTTTAAAACTGATTTATTTATAGCATCCTGACTTTAAGTTCTTCAACTGCAGATATATCTGTTTGTTTTTTATGTAATGCAGAATCTTGTCTCGAACAATTTTTTGTTTAACTTATTTACTTTTGGAGAAGGGGAGAGAGTTATTCTTTTAAGCATCATAAATAAAAGTGCATATTTCAAGGAAGACCATGGCAGTAGAAGAATTATAGATGAAATCACAATTTAGAACATGATTTTAAATAAAATAGTAAAACTGGCAACTATTTTTGGGGATGCAGCTAATAAGAAAGTATCGTTGGTTCTAAAAATATAATAGTTGTTTTAATTTTAAAAATGAATGAGTAGTTCAGGCAAAACACAATGTACTTTTTGAAGTATTTTCCATTTTTCATAGTAGTTTAGGTGTATTGGTATCCTCTTAATGTGCATGCAGATGTACTTTTTCCCAAACATATCTGTAGTGTCATGAAATTTGGTTAGTTTACCTTCTAACACTGAGTTTAATTAATGATTGAATCAATTATAAATTTATTTTGTTTGCTGAGTTTAATTATTAATGTTCATTGGTTATCAGATTCATATTTAATACTCACATATAATTCAAATTAAGTTCCCTCCCTTTTGAAATGAGATGCTGATGTGATTTGCAATTTCTTAATTTTTCATCTGTCAAATTTCATTATAGCTCAAATTCCAGTGAGCTGTGATCCAATGAAGCATTTTGACTGCGGCGACAAGCACTGCATTCCCATTGAGCTGGCCTGCAATCAGAAAAATGACTGCGGAAACTGGGAAGACGAACCACGGGACAAATGCTGTGAGCAAATTTAGATAGCTTTAAATAGTATTGCTTCTTTGTTGCTTATGTTAGCAGTGCTGCACATATTGAAGTGTTTTTTAAAATGGTTCAGAAATTGTGTGCAATAAAACCAATATTAGTACAAATTAGTCAAATAAATCAATGTGATGCGTAATTAGTGTATCACTATTAAGACAAAACAGTGTTGCATTTTCTGTGTGTAATGATGTATTAGATAGTTGCAGTTTTTAAAATGTCTACTTACAAATCTTTTGAACTGTAATGTATAGCTTCTTCTGATATTGAAGTTAGGCCTTCTTTAGGCTAATTCTTTGCTTGAAAAGTGTTTCTTGTACAACATATTTTTAACCTGTTCTGAAACTTGTAATATTATTGATGCCATTACTGAATTTCATCAAATTCTTTCCTGTCATTTTCAGGGTATCAGGTGTTATATGTGTTCTTAAATGCCTGCTAATTTTAGATTTCTAAATGCGATGAATAAGGTTTTTAAATAATTGTTCTTAATTTTTGTTTTAGTCATCAATGAGTGCCCGGTAAATAATGGGGGCTGTTCCCAGAAGTGTGTCGATGATCTTATCGGCTTTCACTGCGAGTGTCACCCAGGTTATAAACTGTTTGATAATCAAACTTGTGAAGGTAAATTGAAACTTCTTATATCTAGTTATTTTTTGTCATAGGTTGTTTTTAGGGCTATGGTACCTCTTGCAAAGTATGTGTATAATCTCTGAAGTCATTGAAGTTTTTTTTTTTTTTTTATTTTTATTTTATTTTTGTTTTTACCATTTGTTTATTTAAACATAAATATGTTAGAAAACATAAATAACTGTTAAGAATAAGTTTGGTAAATTAAAAAGTGTGTATCAGTTTTTAACATGTTTAAAAAAATTCATAGATATTGATGAATGCGAAATACCGGGTTCTTGTTCTCAACTCTGCAACAACACAAAAGGAGGCTTCAAGTGCTCTTGCCTTGAAGGCTACAGCATTGAACCATTTAACCACCATCGTTGCAAGGCACAACGTAAGTTTTTTTCTTTTCTCTTCATTCATATATTTATATTTATAAATAATTGTACATCAGCATTCTAAGAATAATATCACATTTACGACAGTGGCAAAAAAGCTTGTTATAGTATTATTCTTCCAAAAATCTTTAATGAAAGGATTTAAAATACATCTGTAATTGGTAGAAGGTAGTTATATACGAGAACTGGAACTTTAATAATTGCCCCTAGACTTTGATCTTAGCCAAAATGTGTGATCTATTTACAACTGGTGCAAATGATATGATAATTTTTGCAAAACTTTTATTTTCCTTGATGTAGTCACCAATGTTCATAGTAGGCAATTCTCCCAATCTTATGCTTTCCCAAAGAGCGGTAAAGAGCGCTAAATACTGGGAGTCGAACTGGGGGTGATCCTCAGCAAACATGCAGGCTGCATAATTAGGTTTTATGTTTTCCTCCATGTGTAATGGGAATATAAGGCAGTTTTCCTTAGTTCACCATGAAAGCATTTCGCTCCTTAGGCAAATAGTTGTATCATCCTGTGCTATATTTGAATAATCCTCTTAATTTTACTGTGAGATTCCCATTTTTCTTCACTTCTTCTGATTCATCTGCTTCTCAAATCTTCCATTTTTTTAATTTTTAGCCTTTATTAAGCAATGTATTTTTCAGCAATGAATGAAATTTATCAGATTAATGAAATTTAAATTGTGTAAATTGCATTCCACCATGCCACAGCTTTCAGCATAGTTTTGCTGATTCAATTTTATTTGATCTGAACTTTTTAAATCCAGTGTAGACATTTGTAGAACTTTAAATGAAGATTCAAGCAATATTTATTCAGTTACTATTTGTATTTAATTTATTTTTACATCAATATATGGTACATTAATAAGTATCTACAGAATAGTTCATGTACATTAAATATTAATATTATTTTATTCATGTTTAAGAATACTTTGATAAATAAAAGCTTCCCTTCCCTACTCTGGATTTTCTTATGTCAAAGTTTAAGGAAACTACAAAATGAAACTAGAACATATAATTCAGAATATTCAATTAATTATTGATATATTTTATACCAATAATCATACAGATAATTGAATAATCTGAATCAGGCATTATAAAATGAATTTGAGTCAATTTGGAAAACCTCTTGGAAACTCCCTATTTTTGCACAAGACCCCCCCTAATTTTTTCTATTTCGAGGTTGGGAGATATGTCTATTTAAACAAAAAAAAAAAAAAAAAAAAAAAAAAAAAAAAAAAATCAGAATTATTTTTCCAAATAGCTCTAGTGAGAAAATTCAAAAAGAGTGTATTAAATATTTAATTAATAGAAGGCAGTAACATACGAGGGCTGGTACTTTAACAATTGACACTCTTTATTTACAACTGGTACAAAAAACATTGTATTTTTTATAAAATTTTTCTTCTTTGATGTAGTCACAAGACTTATTACTAATAATACGAAATCTCCTTTGATGTTGCTTACCATTGTTGTGTGCAAGACATAGCTGACAATGTAGAAAAATATGTATAGCAACAACTTTTTTGTTGATAGTTGGGATGGAGTGGTCTTACCTCTTGATTCTCTGAAGCAGATCATGAATGAATGTCACTGAGTGGTTCCTTTGTCTTAGAAATTAAATCTTATTTATGAGAGCTCTATCCATGGAATATAGTAGATGGTAAAACACTTCTCATCCTTATTGAGTAAACAAATGAGCCACAGATTAACACCGTTTGCTCAAGCATTGTCCTGTAAAGTAATAATATAATTCTGCAGGAAATGTGATTGTTATTTTCACAACTCTGTTTAAAGTTCGAGAAATGAAAGGTATACTTCCTGAAGTGGCCAGTATGCTTCATTGTTTTAACTACCAAATTTACTGCCTATTGTGTAATATGCAAATCTGAAATGTTCCGAAGGTGTATGCATTGGCTGTTCTGAAATGTTTCGGAAGGTGTATGCATTGGCTGCTGTAACAAAAGTGTCAAATGAAGAATAATAATACGTTTTGACTTTCCTTAAAATATGCCATCATAGTTGTATGTAACAATCATCTTAACTTTTTACACTGCTGGGGTTCAGATAAACTTTTCACTATGTTTAAATCAGTATGTTTAAATCTTCTACTTACTCCTAACGATCCTTCTTCATCAATCAATGAGTGCAAATTACTTACCTGACTCTGAACTTACTATGTTATTTTTAAGAATACAATTGTTTTCGCTAAGAAAGGAATGCTATTGTATTCATTTGATTAACATTCTCAGCTTTACTGATTTCTTCTATTGATAAGGTTGTTTCTCAGAAACCTGCAAATAAAGCTTAAAACTCAAACAAGTTTAGAATACAGTGGAACCTCGAGATACGAGTTTAATTCTTTCCAGCATTGAGCTTGTATAGCAAATTTCTTGTATCTAGAAACAAACTTTCCCATTGAAAATGCAGTTAATCTGTTCCATATCCCCAAAAATATCAACATAAAAAGCAATTTTTCTAATAAATAACACTGGTAAATAATAGAACAGTATTTTACCTTTATCATAGTTTCCGACACCAAACTTTTAACTGCTTCTTGTTAATTCACACAACAACAGCTTCTCAACATCTTCTAGAGTTTTGGACGATGCTTAGAAGTAATGGTAACTCCTTGGCTACATCAAGTTTCTTAATTTCTTTTCCTGGTTCTTCAGAATAGTGTAGATCGTCTATGTTGTTTAGGCCATAAGTCTTCGCCAATTCCATCATTCTTACACCGTGCTCATGTTTATCTATAATTTCTTTCTTAATTTCAATGGCCATGGCTTCTTTATTTTTCTTTGCAGCACTATCTAAGGCAACAATTCTTCTTGGAAGGCATTGCAAAATAGTTATTTCATGTTAAATGTAATAAACAATTGACTCACAAGCCTACAAACACATATATCAAAGAACTGTGGGTGATCCGACGAGGGGATTCCCATAGTCGAGATGGATCATGAAATGGCGGCATGCATACCAGCAGCCAGGCTCATTGTTTGTTACTCGTGTCAGTGCTCGTATTTAGAGACAATTTTTTTTGCTCATACTTTCCTCATTTCTCGAATTTCTCATATATAGAGCTGCTCATATCTTGAGGTTCCACTGTATTTATTACTTATAGGACAGTTCTATATCTCGCGTTCTACTGGGTCGATTGACAAAATTCAAATTGTGTTTTTCATGTCTTGAAAGTGTCACTTAGGATATAAATTAGATTTATATATAGTTTTTCTAACATAGGTATTTTGACACAAACTTGGACTTTTTTTTCTGAAATAACATACCAATTTTTTTCCATATTTCGATTCTACAACTCAAATTATGCTCAGATATTAAATTTTTATAAATTTGGCATGAAATTTACAGAAAAATCTAAAAACTTACATTGGCACAATTTTTTTTCAGTTTTCGTCAAGAATAGCGAACTTCTTAATATGTGGCAACCAATTTTCCTTTCCCTTCCATTATGCCGGAGAGGGAAAAAAAGGCACCTTGTTCCTACCTTTTTACATTGTGCGTGAGGGGAAAAAAGTCGCATCGTTTCTGCTTCCAGATAATTTTTAGCAAAGTCTCTAAACCACATTTGATGGTTTTTTTATCGCTTTCAACAAAATGCCCAAATTTCAAAACGCACCAATATATAAAATTGACGTATATCTTTGGAAATTTTGAATAAAAAAACTGCAATTTTTTGCAGGTATGCTTAGAAATAAATACGTCTACTTTGATAGCAAAAATTTTATAGATTATAATTCAAAATTTTTTTTGAAAAATTTATAAAAATTATTTAAAAATACAAATTTTAAACTTAAATCATAAAAATGGGTGAATTTTTATTTGAATGAACCTAACTTTTGAAATATGAAAAAGAAGAATCAAACAAGTTTAATAAAAAAAGAGAGATTAATAAATATATACCATAAGTCAATTAACATGAGGTGCTAAAATCTTGAGAGCTAATTTTTTTAAAAACTACGCATGCAATTTTTACAAAACTTGGCAGTGTGGCATAATTTGAGTCATAGAATCGAAATATGAAAAAAAAATTGGTTATGATATTTAAAAAAAAGTTCAATTTTGTGTCAAAATACCTATGTTAGAATAGTCCTATACATAAATCTAGTACATATCCTAAGTCGTGCTTTTGAGACAAGTTGAATTTCGGCGATCAGCCCAGTGGAATGGGAGTATAGAACTGCTTTTTATTTATTTTTTTTTGGGCATAGTGTAGATACAAGCCTCTCCCCCCAAAAAACCCCCACTCTTCTGCATTTATTTTAAATCCATTTTACAATCTGTTTTGGAAAGAAGAGTCCTTCATTCTTTCTGTCCATACGTACAGATATCACTAAAACAAAATTGTTAAAATTGATTTGAGAGCATTCAAAACGGATATTATTGTTGAAATGTGGTACCTGAAATTTTTTGCTCTTACTTACTTTGTATAAGGGAGTAAAAATGCAGCAGTTCTATCAAATGTTGAAACAAGGGTGTAGGCAGTCAAAGAGGACCCCGAGAAAATACTTGTTGGAAACTTTTCCTCAATTTTTATGCAAATTTTATATTTAGATAGTATGTGTTTCTGCAGTTTATAATGCCAGTTATTGCATATTGTATGTTTAGGTTTTGTGCCATTTATGTTGTATTTTAAATGTTCATATAATTTTATAAATTTTAACAATATTTTGAAAATTAATTGCATATAATTTTTTTCATATTTATACTCCCTATTAGAAAAGTATTAAATGTTCTTTGCTTCATGTAGAGCAGTGTTGTCAAAATTTACCATTTCAAATTTAGCATGTGGGAAAATTTACCTTTTTTGCTGAACAAAATTTAAAATATTTAATTCTAATTGTTTAAATTTACAAAGAGTTCCACTGAATTTGTTTATACTAATAAATATATAATAAATTTATATTTACTCTAGAGAGTATAGTTATATATTAAATAATTATTATCTATAATAATGAATTGAGTGAAAAAATTCATGCAAAGCATTTGATCTAAAATTTTGTCCATTTAGATAGTAAATGCAGGGGGGGATTATTGTCTATAAGTTTAAGTTATTTCTTATCATTTATGCAGAGGGACATGGTGCATTGCTCTTTGCCAATCGTCGAGATCTTCGCAAGATCGATCTGGAAACTTCGGAATACACATTAGTATCTAGTGGCCTTCGAAGTGCAGTGGCGATCGATTATGACTTTGCTAAAAGGATGGTCTTTTGGAGTGATGTTTTAGAAGAAAGAATATATAGGTATGGGAAAACTTTTGTTTTTACAAAATAAGTGATAATTAGACCACTCAAAATTTTGACACAAAATTGAACTTTTTTTAAAATATCATACCAATTTTTTTTTCATATTTCGATTCTATGACTCAAATTATGCCACACTGCCAAGTTTTGTAAAAATTGCATGCGTAGTTTAAAAAAATTAGCTCTCAAGATTTTAGCACCTCAATGTTAATTGACTTATGGTATATATTTATTAATCTCTCTTTTTTATTAAACTTGTTTGATTCTTCTTTTCATATTTCAAAAGTTAGGTTCATTCCAAATAAAATTCACCCATTTTTATGATTTAAGTTTAAAATTTGTATTTTTAAATAATTTTTATAAATTTTTCAAAAAAAAAATCTGAATTATAATCTATGAAATTTTTGCTATCAAAGTAGACGTATTTATTTCTAAGCATACCTGCAGAAAATTGCAGTTTTTTTTATTCAAAATTTCCAAAGATATACATCAAAATTGTGTGAAGAAAGTGGCGAAAAACTTTATATCCTTCTGTTTTAGAATTATTATTTTTTAATTCAAAGAAAAGGTTTAAAACTTTTATATTTAAACAAAAGCATCCTTTATGTGGCACATTAATAAGTTTTATAGCTAGAAGTAACTTGATAGAATTTTTGATATTTTATGTTAAGTGAATATTCACACTGTGGTTAATAATCCAACTTTGATCTCCCATTAACTTATAGAGTAAGAGGGAAAGAACTTGACTGTAACTTAGGTCTGTTTAAAATTCCAAATGAGTTTAATCCTTGCTGAACATTTCTCTCCCCCTCAATATTCATATTGGGGGAGGGAGAAGAAAAGGATTTTCCTGATGCTTCTTTAAATCAGAAATTCAAATTAATAATAATATAAAGTATATTAATAAGGTGACTGAAGAAAAATTTGGTCAGAAATAACAAGGAATCTAATTAAATCCATGCCAGTCATATTTTAAAAGTTATTAGTAATCCAACAAACGATGATCATCAAGCTATCACATTTAAATAACTGAGAATGACAATTAATTACAATGAACGCACACATTAGCCTTAAGTTGGGACGAAAAAGCGTATCTACCACCTGAACAGTGAGTTTAAGTTTCAGAAGGCAAACATGCCTTCTCCCTCTGAGACTTTGCCAAGAGGCAATGGCATTCGCTCTGTTTAAAATAAAGCACTTGAATTCCACGAAAGCAGGAATTTTTTTGTTTGTATGCTCTAACGTTCATTCTTTTAGTGTTTCATGATCAAGTTTTCCTTTTAATAGAAAAATAATCATGGTATCACAATGTTCTACTGGCTGTTTAAGGATTTTCAATATATCAATACGCTGTTGTGTTGTATCAATTAATCTCCGCAAAACCTGAAGCTGATTCATGTTTTAGAACAGGCTGTGAAATTAATTTATTTAACACTAATTTATTGGTTATTTCTACTTTCATAACGTTCAGTAAGTGCTTTCCATGTCTTTTCATAATTCCCGTTTTAAATTTGAACTGATTGTAGTAAAACAGCAGCTTCACCTTTCACAGAAAGCTTAAAATATTGCAATTTTGGACTGTTACTTAATGTACTATTATTTCCAACACTGGCAAGAAATAAATCCTTAAATGATATCCAATCAACGTAATTAGAACTAAACACTGGCAGTTCTACGCGAGGAAGTTTTAAACCATTTACATTAGCATTTATTATATCTTGACGCAAATTAGTAAGTTTTCTTGATTCTTCCTTTAAATTAATTTTTAATACATCCAATTTAGAAAACAATTCACACATTTCTATTTCATACTTATGAAACTCTGCGTCAGAACACCAAGAATGTTGTTGCTTAAACTGTTCACTTCAACACTCAATGCACCAACATCATTTTCGTACACTTCAATGACAGAAAAAAAAATTTCTTGATTTTGTAAACTATTCGCTTGTGAAATTAAATGAGTCAACTTACCTTTAATGATTCGCTTTTGCTCTAAAATAGACTCCATATTCCGGCTGCTATTCTCACAATACAAACAAAAATAATTCGTTTTCCTTGCATGAAATGTCCTTCTATTTCAGAATTCAAATGTCTTGCCTCATCCAAAGTATGCGTGGCTAACGACCTGCATAGGGATGGAAAGTACACAGATGTTTTTGTTTGTGGCCGGAAGAACAATTCCAATAGTTAGTTCGCGCTGCGGCCTCTCAGAGAAAAATCATTTAATAGGCCAACATATTGTCGCGCCACTATCGAACTCCATGAGAGGTAAGTTTCTCTGTTACGGAATGGCAACGAGAGAGATTGTTGTTCAAAAGATGGATGATCGAACTGCGTTGTAACGATCATTTTTGAGGATGTTGCGTACTGTAAAATGAACTTATTACGCTGTGCTAAATAGTATTAAAATGCTATATATTAAAAGATCTTTCATCTGATCTAAATTTTAACAAACCGCTCATTATTTTCTCTTAAACTCACAATGTTCACGACATTTCTGGCGCCCCCGGGTGGGCGTGTTTGTTGGAAACATGTCGGATGAAAGAATAGATAGGGTAAGTTGATTACCTTTATACTTCCGTTTTGAAGTTATTGATTATTGTTTTACTGAAGTTTAAAATACTTTTCTTGCCTAATTTTTATCTGAATATTTTAAACTTTTATGACAAAATGGAAGTGATGAAAAGAAACAAAACTGCGCAACGTTCAGCTTTTACTAAAGCATATAAAAGACTAGATGAACTTTTAAATGATGATAATGTTGATTATGAAGAAGCAGAAATGTGTTTTTATTTGTTCAAGAAAAAGGCAGAAACATTAGAATTGACGCACGGTGCTTATTTAGATACTATAACTGATGATAAAGAATTCGAAACAGAATTTGAAATAACAGAGGACTATCGAGAGAAGGCTGTTAGGATACAGTTAAAATCGGAACGATTTCTCGATAATATTAAGAGTAAATTAAACGAAATCCAAAAAATACATCGTCAGAGAGTAGTCAGAAATTAGTTACTGATGAAAATACATGTAAAACTTTGTGCCAACGCCTACCGAAAGTAGAACTTTATAAGTTCGCAGGTGATTTAAAAAATTGGCTTACGTTTTGGAATCAGTTTAAAAACATACATGAAAATAATAACTTAACGAATGCAGACAAATTCCATTATTTGATACAGTCAACAAAAATTAAATCAGAAGCTAGAGATATTGTAGAATCTTTTCCGGTGACGAACGAAAATTATCCTTTGGCTATAGAAAGCCTTACTGAGAGATATGGGCGTAAAGAACTTTTAATTGATTTTTATGTTCGAGAGTTAATAAAACTTGTTTTGGATAACGCAGCGAAAAGGAAGCAGGATTCTTTGAGTAGTTTGTATAACAAACTTTCAACACAACTTAGAGCCCTGAGCAGTCTTGGTGTAACGACTGATCAGTGTGGAACAATTTTATATCCTCTTGTGGAAAGTGCTATTCCTATTCACGTATTGCGATCGTTTGAAAGACAACGAAAAATTACTGAATCTGAACGAAACATTTCGAGTCTTGATGCAATAATTGAATTTCTGAAAAGCGAAGTTCAGTCAGAAGAAAAAATAAAATTAAGCAGAGCGGATATTTTTTCTAAGTCTGATCGTAAGCACTTGGCAACTAGCCAAAATATTCCTTCCGCGTCGGATTTGATGAATCATGAAGCAATACCTTCTTGTTCGTTTTGTTTAAAAGATCATGAAACGCGTAATTGTAAAAAGGCGTTTTATATTCCGTTAGATGAAAAAATGTCTGCGGTAAAAAAGAAAGGTTTATGCAGAATATGCTTGGTTAAAGGTCACCTCAGTAACCAGTGTCGATCAAGTGTTAAGTGTCAGATTTGTTCAAAAAGGCATTTGAAATTTTTTTGTCCTAGTCTTGAATGTAATAAGTCTAGTGAAATGCATAACCAGGAAAATGATGAGAAAAAAGAGAAAACAATCGATTCTTTGCATTCGCGTGCTACGAATGAAGTTTTTTCCTTCAGACCCTAGTTGTGAACATAGAGGGTAAGAATAAAACGGCGTAAAGTTAGATTAATGATTGATACGGGTAGCTCAAAAAGTTATGTTTTAAAGTCTACTGCAGAAGAAATGGGTTTTGACTTGCAATGGGAGGAAGAATTTAGTCACTCTTTATTTGGTGGAAAGAAAACTGAAATTTATAAACATCAATGTTACAAGATTTATTTGAGTAGCCTTGATGGTAAATATTCGTGTAAATTAGATGCTGTAGACCATGATGTTATTTGTAATGATATTTCAAGCATAAGATACGGTTCTTGGATTCGCGAATTAGGAAATAAGGGAATACGCTTAACTGATACCCAAGGGAATCCAGGCCCTATTGAAGTACTGTTAGGGGCAGACGTTGCAGGGAAGTTATTTACTGGCAAACGAGAAGAACTAAGAACAGGTTTAGTGGCTATAGAAACAAAATTGGGTTGGACTTTGATGGGTAAAGTACCTCAATCCGAACATCAGCACAATGTAAATATGACTATAGTTTCTATGTTATCTCAAGAAGACCTGCCTATTTCATCGTTGTGGGACTTAGAATTATTGGGTATCCGAGATCCTGTTGAACAAAAAACTAAAGAAGAGTCAAGAAGAGCTATTATGGTTCATTTCCAAGAAACAGTTCGTCAATTAGAAAATGGTAGATACGAGGTTGATATGCCTTGGAAAATTGAGCATGCAGTCTTACCTGACAATTATGACCTATCTTTGAAAAGACTCGAATCTACTACGAAGAAGTTGGAAAAAATCGGATATCGTGAAAGGTATCATGAAGTCTTTAATGAATGGCTGCAGGAAGGAGTGATTGAAGAAGTTCCCCAAAAGGAGTTGTCTTTACCCGTTGTTCATTACCTCCCACATCGTCCAGTCATTAAGGAAACGTCCTCACTATCTTCCATGAAAATTAGACCCGTTTTTGATTGCTTCGGCAAAGCTTTCTAATCAGCCATCTCTAAATGATTGCTTAGAGACTGGAATTAATTTGATTGAAACTATTCCGTCTATTCTAGCAAGATTTCGCTTACATGAAATTGGTGTGATTTCAGACATCAGAAGAGCTTTTTTACAGATATCTCTAAATGAAAGAGATCGAGATTTTTTACGATTTCTTTGGTATGGTGATGATGGTAGAGTGAAGACATTTCGTCACACCCGTGTGGTATTTGGCATTACTTGTAGTCCATTTTTGCTGATGGCGGTTATTGACCATCATTTATCCAAAGAAACGTGGAAAGAAAAATATTCTGAAGAATTTCTTAAAAAATTACAAGATAGTTTTTATGTCGATAATTGCGTAACTAGTGTACAAAATAATGACGAACTAGAAATATTCATCGAATCTGCAACTAATGTAATGAAAGAAGGAATGTTTGATCTCAGAGGATGGGAAAGTTCTGGCATTCCTGCATTTTCAGAAAGTAAAACATCACCGGTATTAGGACTGGTTTGGGACAAAGATTTAGATACCTTGGAAATAGACACCGAATTTTTTGAAATTTGATGAAAGAGAAAAAGTAACTAAAAGGAAAATGCTTTCACTAGTTAGTCGAGTATTTGATCCCATAGGTTTCCTTGCACCTGTTATGATTCAGCCTAAGATTTTGCTGCAGGTCGCTTGGAAGAGCAAAGAATCATGGGATGATGAAGTGAATGATGAAATAAAGAAGAATTTTTTAAAATGGGGAAAAACAACTGAAATACCTCAAAAATATAAAAATTCCAAGATGGTTAGGTGTGATGAAGGAATCCAATTTAAGTATCCATACTTTTGTCGATGCCAGCAAGACAGCTTATGCGGCATGCATTTTCTTAAGAAGTGAATCCAGTATGGGTTCAGTGACTGTTCAATTACTTCAAGCCAAATCACGAATAACTCCAACGAAGACTATTACTATACCACGACTTGAACTAATGGCTGCTACCATAGGTGCTAGGCTGTTTAGTTCTGTGAAGCAAGCTCTAAAACTTCCCAACATCAAGACTTACTTTTGGACAGATTCTTCCACAGTTCTTGTGTGGATAACTCGTCGAGAACAGTGGTCGGTATTCGTTACAAACAGAATAAGTGAAATTAGAAAATTGACAATTTCGGAAGATTGGTTCCATATTTCAACTGACCAGAATCCAGCAGACATTTTGTCAAGAGGTTGTGGACCTAGGCAACTTCAGAAACGCAAGTGGTGGCAAGGGCCAGCCTGGTTGAAGAATCCGAAGGAGCAGTGGCCAAAGTCAGCTGTAAATATTAACGAAAAAGAAGTAGAGATAGAGAAACGAAAGTCAGTCATCTCTGCTAGTAACACAGAGCTAGAGTCAATTCCATTACAGTTAGCCAGAAGATTCTCTAGATTTTCAAAGATGATTAGGGTTATGGCTTGGATACTGCGTTTTCAACCAAAGGCCAAGGACTTAAGAAAATGTAAGGAACTTCAAAATGAAGAATTGTTAAATGCACAAAGGACTATTTTCCGTGTAATACAAAAGGAATGTTACTCCAATGAAGAAACACGAAAAAATTTGAAAGGTCTTCTAATATTTGAAGATGAAGAAGGAATTTTACGATTGAAGTCCAGATTGATAAATGAGGAAGAATCGAAAGATTTTATTTCTCCAATAATTCTACCATCGAAACACCTGGCAGTGAGAAGATTTATAGCCCAAGAACATATTGCTAACAAGCATGCTGGGACATTAACTCTACTGACTATTTTACGGGAAAGATTTTGGATAGTGAAAGGGAAAAGAACTGTCCGGAGTGTTATCAAAGAATGCTTAACATGTAAAAGGCAAAAGGTAAAACATCTTGAGGTACCTTTTCCGCCTCTTCCAAAAGACCGAACAGAAGTAGCAGCAGTTTTTCAAGTATCAGGTGTAGATATAGCTGGACCTCTGTTGACTAAATCTAAACAAAAGGTGTGGATAGTACTTTTTACTTGCGCCGTATTTAGAGCTGTCCATCTTGAGCTAATACCTTCACTGAGTACCAACGACTTCATCCAAGCTATGCGTAGGTTTATAGCCAGAAGAGGACGAATTTCTGTGATGTATTCAGACAATGGTACTAATTTTACAGGACTAAATAATGCTCTGAAACAATTAGATTGGACTACAATTGAAAGTGAATTTAGAGTCAACGAAATTCGTTGGAAGTTTAACCCACCCTCCTCTCCATGGTGGGGAGGCTTCTGGGAACGCTTGATTGGGATTTTGAAAGATCTTTTGAGAAAAAATCTTGGACGCTCCTGTTTGTCTTACGAGGAATTGCAGACTCTCGTCTGTGAAAGCGAATCGATCATGAACAGCAGACCGTTAACTTACATATCCGAGGAACAAGATCTGAAGACCTTGACCCCCTCAATGTTTCTTCAGGACATTCCATTAAATGATGTTCCTGATTTGGATCAAATTGAAAAGAAAGACTAATATTGTTTTGAGATGGAGACATATTCAAAAGGTTCGTGAAAATCTAAAACGAAGGTTTAAAAGGGAGTATCTGGGTTTCCTTCGTTCTTCAGTTAACAAAAGAGAAGATAAAATAAATGTAGGTGACATAGTGTTAATTGGTACAGATGATAAAAAAAGGCTCCATTGGCTGCTAGGGAGAGTACTGGAACTCTTTCCAGGAAAAGATGGAATCATCAGACTTGTGAAACTGCGAACTGAAAAGGGAAACATATTAAGACCAATCCAACGACTGTTATCCTTTGGAATTGACCCCAAATTACGAGCAAGTCGTATCGGAACCTCAGAAGGTTCCGGAAGTGGTAGCTGAAAATCCTGAGCTTAATACTGACTCTAATGAAACTGTTCGCGTGTCTCGCTCAGGACGAAAAATAAAACCAGTTAAAAGACTGGATTTATAAACTTCTAAACAAACTTTTGAACTTTCTGTGTTTGAACTCTAAAATATTGATTTCAATTTGCATTCTAATATTTTGAAATATTTCTATTATTATTATGCACGTTATTGTTATCTCAAAATTGTATGTATGTATTATCATTATTTTACTGTTTTGAGTTTGTATCCCCAAACTCAAGGTGGGGAGAATGTCGCGCCACTGTCGAACTCCATGAGAGGTAAGTTTCTCTGTTACGGAATGGCAACGAGAGAGATTGTTGTTCAGAAAAGATGGATGATCGAACTGCCGTTGTAACGATCATTTTTGAGGATGTTGCGTACTGTAAAATGAACTTATTACACTGTGCTAAATAGTATTAAAATGCTATATATTAAAAGATCTTTCATCTGATCTAAATTTTAACAAACCGCTCATTATTTTCTCTTAAACTCACAATGTTCACGACGACAACGTGGGTATTCAACTATCTGGGGACTACTGATTTGATATTTTCATTTTTCTTTCAAAACAGTCTAGTATAATAATTGCATTGTACAGTTTTATGCAAAAATAAAATTATTTTATAAAGTATTACCTCTAAGTATCAAGTATTACCTCTAGGTTAGGGAGCTTAAATTAATCATTAAACTTAATGCTGGTTTCTAAAATTTTAAGTTTATTTAGTATATATTACTATAAGAACTAAAGAAAACTTATTGAATTAAGGATCTTTGTAAAAAAAAAAAAAAAAAAAAAAAAAAAAAAAGCACGCTTAAATATTTGCATTCCACTTCCATCTTCTGCTCTGTGAGGTCCTAACATCCAAATAACTGTGGCGTCATGGGAAAGACACTCTGCAAGGCAAATAGAAAAAACATACATGTAGGTGTTTTTTTTTTTTTTTTTTTTTTTTTTTTGGTTAGGGCGCAGCCCGGTCTACCTTGCAAAACAAAGTTTGCCCTATGACCCTGTACGGGCTACGCCAGTACAAAAATCACCACACAACTATACAAACACAAGAATCACACAATGCCAGTGGCTTCTTTATTGTTGTTAATAATCTTCATGATTTTATGCTCTATTTCTCTTGCCTTAAGTAAACAATTTTTCATAAAATGTATGTTCGCTCCATCTGGTTAACTTACATTCTGTAATAAAGCGGACATTGTCTCCTACTTTTGTACATACTTTACATAAATCGTTATCTTGAACATGGAATCTTTTCAGATAAAAGGCAAATCTCCCATGTCCTGTAATTAACTGATTCAAGTCAAATATTCATATTTTCCTTAGGAACCAAAATCTTCATGAACGTATTGTTTTTAGCAGAGTTTCCCATTGAGTCCGCCATTTATCTACAATGTTATACTGCATAATGTTAATGCATCTTCTCCTGTAGGTGTAATTTCTCAAGCAGGTAAACTTGAACCTATCCCATAGTTTTAACTCACGCTCATAGGAAAGTATGTTTTTTTATAATTTCTTGTTGCGGCAGAAATTATCGACGGAAAATGATGAAATAACGGATTATGTCGCAAGTTCATCACTTTTCTTTCCAAACGGGCAAATATCGGCAATAAGCCAAAGTCGGACATCGCAATATTCGATAAATTTTCTTCAACTAAAATTTCTGAAAAACTAACATGGTATTTTCTGCTAGTAGATAAAGAAACAAAAACAGAATCAATAGATTTATAATTGCAAAATTCTACAGTTGAGAAAAATGGTCGACAACAAAAGAATCTAAAAGAGGGATTTGTCTTCACAGGCCCATTTTACCAGCGGTCTCTGATTTTCCATAATCCACAGTTTTCTCCTGTCGTCTTAATCTTGTTGATCAAATTCTGAGACAAAAAAGAGCAGTTTCATCTCGCAACTTCAAGGTCCTGCGCTTCAGTGCTTTATTCTAAATCACGTGAAACGTTCAACCACTCGTGGATTTTGGCATTTCCCTTTCTCTCCCAAGCAACTACCCCCTTCTTCCACACAATCCCTTTTCTATATACAGTCTTTATTTCAGTTTTATTATTTTATTCATTTTTATCTCCGCAGATGTCTCGTTTCGTGGGGCTATGGGTATTATTATGAAGGGATACTTTTAAATTT